CCTCCGCCCCCCCCCCGACCTTTGTAGCTTTTGATCACACCTGTGTCATGCGCATCGATTTGCATTCGGCGCGACGAGGCGTCAAAGACGTTCAGTCTAAAAATCCTGCGGGGCGAGCAAAAGAGGGAGCAGGAATTCCGTTTTGAGGTTCATCCCAAAATAGCAGCAAACGCTGAGAGATGTTTGCCCCTCGTTGACCTCGTTTACGAGAAGGGCCATCGGTAGCGCTAATGAGTTGCTCAACAACGGCGCTCTGTTTCCGCGGACGTCTTTTTCAGGATCTCCTTGCGCCGCGGGCCCTCCGGACGTCGATGGCTCAAAAGTGCTCCAACAATGGACAATTTGTCCTGAAATTTCAAAGCCCAACGCAAACAAAACGAGAGCAAAGGTCTTGGCATCTCAGTCCTAATTTGGCGTCGTTTGGCGAGTGCACGGACCCTTTGACCCTTTGACCCTTTTGGTGTCGGTGACAAGCTCGTCAGGGAAAAACGTTTGGGCAAAGATTGAAATGACATCGAAACGGGAGTTTTTCCTCGGCAAACTGCCGTTATGATGGCGGGCGGGAACGGAGGATCCAACGGCCTCCCGGGACACGCCCGCTTACGATTTGTCAGCGTCGCCATTTGAGGAAAGGTCACCGTCCTCATGTTCAATCTATCCATCCATTTTCCGTAGGCGGGGGACACCCTGAACCAGTTGGCAGCCCATCGCAGGGCACACAACACACTCACACTCACGCCAAGGGATCATTTCGAGTGTTCAATCAGCCTGCCACGCATGTTTTGGGAATGTGGGAGGAAACCACCGAGCACCCGGAGAAAAGCCACGCCGGCACAGGAAGGCCAGAGCTGGGATCGAACCCACAACCTCTGCACTGTGAGGTCGAGATCCTAACCACTGGACCACTTGGCCGCCCGCTCATGTTCAAACCAAATGAATTTAAGCAAGCACCTTAGTTGGTCCTCATGCCACTCTGATGTTTGCAAAAACATTCAGTCAGTAAAAACAACAAACAATAAAACAAGACATGAATAACAAAGACAGTCAAGAGCCCCAAAACAGCAAATCGAGTCTCATGCTGAGTCCAAAGCCAAAGAAGAAAAACGAGTTTGAAGTCGAGTTTCAGGGATTGCTTGCCCAATGCTCAGCGGCCGCTCACGACAACGGAAAAGGCTCCGCCCCCCCACAGCCTCTGACCTTAGTCCTCGCTACCTCGAGTCGTGTCTGGTCACGGGTATGTAAAAGCTCTGAGCGGTTAAGTGGGGCCTCATCGGAGTTTCCAAAGAACTCTCAAATGACTCTTACGAGTACTCGTCAAGAGGCGCCCGGCGGCATTGTGGACCAACTGGAATGGAGGAGTGGCCGGGATGTGACCGTTTCCAAGTGCTCCCCAGACAAAGGAGAGGCTTGACTTTGGCCAGCCGGTTCCGACAACAGCAGCGACGGATGCATTTGAGTTGCGTCGACTTTCTGTGCCCGGCTCAGATGGTCTTGCACGCACGCACGCGCACGTCGCGCCAGTCGATTGCCCCCAAAAGCTTCGCATTTAAGACCGAGCCCAGATGCAATTGAGCGAGGAAAGGCCCCTTTTTCACAATGGCTCCGACGAATGCAAGTGTGCGAAAGGTGTTGAGCCGCATGGCGTCAAATCCACAGCAAGTTATCGCTCCGCAGCTGTTTGGTTTTTATGGTCGCCACCGACAAAGTTAGCCACGGTGGAAGAATTTGGCGGGATAAAAGCCAAATTTTCTCTGCCGAGGAGGCGGACGTTGACGACGGGGCTAAAACGGGAGCCCGTTATCTGGCGAGGCGACCCGACGAGTAATGGGAACGTTAGCAGTCGCGTCACGTCCGACGTTTGACTCGGGAGACTTTCGGGACTTCCGGCGGTCTTTGTGGGAAGGCTCCCGCCCCGTTGCGCAAACGTCGCTCGCAGCTGAGAGAGCGGCGGGCGCTCGCTTGTGGATTTGGCATCTTCGTCGCCATTTCAAGCGTCACTCCCCAAAGGTGCCGGAGTCCGTTGCAATCCGCTGACCCGCACAAGTTTCCAGGTTCCGATGACCGCGGGGCCATTGGAATCCGGTCCTCAATGGCATGAGCGACAATATTCCGCTCGACCAAACTCGCCGTCCGACATGTTTGAGATGCGTCCCTCCCGTCTTGCTGACGAGATGATCGTTTGAATGCGACAAGGTCCGCAAGCCACTCCCCCTTTTCGCGATGATGATGATGATGATCGCGAGCAGGCGCGCAACCCGAGGAAACGCCCTCCGATGCCACTCTCGACCAAAACCGAACATAACGGGGCGCTCGTCTAAAACGGGGCACGCGGCGGACCCCGAGAAGCAGAACGGGAGCGGCGGCTGGCGTTTTGCCGGCGCTTTGATCGTCCTCTTCCTTTTTTTCCCCGCAGGCATCGGCTACGCCTCGATCGTGATCGTCTCCCTGCTGAACATCTACTACATCGTGATCTTGGCCTGGGGCCTCTACTACCTGTTTCAGTGCTTTCAGGCCGAGCTCCCCTGGGCCAAATGCAAACAGCCCTGGAACACGGAACAGTGCGTGGAGGACACCGTTCGAAAGAACAAGTCCCTTTGGCTGCTGGCCAACGGCACCAACTTTACTTCCCCCGTGACGGAGTTCTGGGAGTGAGTAGCCATCCAAATAGCGGTGACGGGGCCCCCCCTTGCCCGGTTTTTGAAAAGGAACGAGAATGAGTGAATATGTGACGTTGATGCCGCGCAGGCGCAACGTCCTGAGCATCTCGTCCGGGATCGAAGACATCGGACCCCTCAAGTGGGATCTGGCCCTCTGTCTCTTAGCGGTGTGGGTTATCTGCTTCTTCTGCATCTGGAAAGGAGTCAAGTCCACTGGAAAAGTGAGTAAGGGGATGGAAGGAGGTGGCCCGGAGCTGCTTCTTTGCCCTCAAAAGCCGCCCCGCAAACCAGGGGCCGGGACTTTGAGGCAAATCAGCCCTCCGGAAAGTATTTTGCTTTTGAATGATGTTACCTGTGGTCGTCGACTCGATCGCTTGTTCTTATCGGACTTACCTTGTCGTGTACGGCACCTCTCCTCCTGTCTAGGTCGTGTACATCACCGCGACGTTCCCGTTTGTGATGCTGATTGTGCTGCTCGTACGAGGAGTCACCCTGCCGGGGGCGGCGGAGGGCATCAAATTCTACCTTTACCCTGATTTGACGCGCCTGCGGGACCCAGAGGTAACACTGGAAATGACTTGAGGGTTTTTTGGGGGGGTTTTTTTGCATTATCCAAAAGCATAGACGCTCATGAATACGCTGCCGTACGAGCGGCCAAGTCACAAGTTGTTGCGTGGTCAGGTTTTATATTTTGAACGTGTCGAAAGGCCAAATTGTCAACGAGCTTCAGCTTTTTCTTCGAACGTGAAAAAAGGGCCAAAGACAGAAAGCGGTGGCGACAGGCAGACTCCTCGCATCTCCGTCAGCGGCGCGTCTCAAGAAAGCCAAAACGCTGTCGCGGTTGAGCGATCGACGTCGCGCCGTCAAAGCGAGCGAGCAAGTCATTTTCAACACAAAGATTGCAAAACTCGCAGGAACATCCATTTGGGACCCGTTAGAGCAAACTGAGTCGCATTTTAATCAATAAGAGAATGAGCTCTGTTTTTCCAAGGATTCGTCACTCATCGCGCATGACATTCTTCGCGCGGAACGCATCGCGAGATCCGACGCGCCGCCTTTGAGCTGCGTGCTGACAGTGACGCTAAACTACGGGGCGGGAATTGTGTATGTGAAGATGGCAAGAAACCCAAAAGACCAAGCATGCCGGCACGTCGTGCTTCAGATCAAACTATTCTTTTGGACCCCCCCCCCCACCCCCCCAAAAAAATGCATTGAGCGTTTGACAAAAAGTCAACTGAGAAATGAACAAGTTCCGCCCGATGCTCAAGAAGTTTGCCGTCGACGGGGGAAGCCGCCTCAGCCAAGATGGCCGCCAAGCGGCAAGCTAGCCGGGCCGCTAAAGCACCCCGCCCCGTCTTTTGTCCGCATCCGCGGTTATTACAAACGACGCCGCTCGAACGAACGGTAGTCGGACAAGCGGTCACAAACTTGAGCTGAGCAACAAGTTGGATGTCATTAGCATCGCCACGTGTTGATTTGTTGGGGAGAAAAAAAAAAGCAGTTCGCTTTTCCCTCACTTTTAAAATCGCAAAAACGGGGCCAGCCGACGAATCCGAGTGAATTCGGTGAACCGCGAGCCGCGTCACGGTGCCGATAAAAGGCGCCAGTCCTCGTAGATGACGCCGTACGTGGCTGCGAGTAAGTTGGATTTGATCCGTGGACGTGTCCGTGACCGAGCGCCCGCTCTCGTCCCGACTCCCAAGGTGTGGATTGACGCGGGGACCCAGATTTTCTTCTCCTACGCCATTTGCTTGGGTGCCATGACGTCCTTGGGCAGCTACAACAAGTACAAGTACAACTGCTACAGGTGAGCGAGGCCTCCTCCGGGGGGGGCGGGGGGGTGGGGGTGTGGGTGGGGGTGGCAGGGTGATCAAGTCGGGACGCGCCCGAGACAGAAAAGGGGAACGTTGCTTGCGTCTGTGTTCATTAACAACCTCCCATGACGTATGTGTGACATATAGGGACTGTTTGCTGCTGGGAGTCCTCAACAGCGGTACCAGCTTTGTGTCGGGCTTCGCAATATTTTCCGTCCTGGGCTTCATGGCGCAAGAACAAGGGGTGGACATTGCCGATGTGGCAGAGTCAGGTACGAGGGTGCCGCGTGCTGGCAGTGGCGATGGTGGGCGCTGCTGCCAAACCAAAAAAGACCGTTGGAGATTTGTCCCCTCCCCCTTCGCCCCCCCACCCTGCTCCTTGAAAAACCAAAAT